CAAGTTGGAGCCTGCTACAGTATCTTTGTAAGAGATGGGCTGCTCACACCCCATCACTGCATCTGTTAGGGTTGTCAGTAAGGGGAGGCCAGCTCAGCTTCACCTGGCCCCACCATCGACTGGCACAAGTCCTAACACAACTGTTCCTGGGAAGGGACACATGGCCTGGCCCAGTCTCCTCAGCTCCCCCAGCCAACCCTAAACCTGATTTTGTTTGTATAAGTATGTGCATGCTGTGTGGACATCAGGAGTCTTCTCTCCACCTTATTGAGACAGTCTCACTGAACCTGGACTTTGCTAAGTTGGTTAGTCTGTTTGGCCAGTGTACTCCAGGGATTGATTCCCTGTGTCCTGTCATGCTTGGGATCACAGATGAGCTATTTTACCTGGCTTTTACGTTAGTGCTGGAGATCCAAACTCAGGTCCTTATGTTTACCCACTGAACCATCTCTCAGCCCCAGACTTGCTTTTTATATTTACTTTTATTTTGTGTATGCATTCTATGTGTGTGCACCACGAGCATGGCTGCTACCTGCAGAGCCCAGGAGGGAGCATAGGATCCTCAGGAACTGGAGTTGCAGGTGATTTTTAGTTTTCGTGTGGGTGCTGAGGTTGAATCTGGGTCTTCTGAAGAGCAGCAGGTGTTGATAAGCCTTCTCACTAGTCCCTCAAATCTGCTTTTGAAAGTAGAATGGGGAGCAGCTTGACAGGTCATTTTTCTTTTGGCTTTTCAAGACAGGGTTTCTGTTTAGCCCTCTGTAGACCAGGCTGGCCTTGAAGCAGAGGTCTGCCTGCCCCTGCCTCTCACGTGCTGGGATTAAAGGTGTGAGATGCCACCCCTCACCTGGAGCTTTTTCACTTTGAATCGATCTTCTGAGAATTGCTCCTGGAGCCATTGGGACAAAGGTTGGAATGTCTGCCAGTCTCAATGGGACAGAGCAAGCTTGCTACCTAGAAAGCTCATTACCATTGACAGTGCAAAGACGGAAGTGTTCCAGGTAAATTTGATTGCTGGACATTAGTGCTTGGATGGTGTGTCTCACTCTGCACAACAATGCGAAGGGGGACAGCAGAATCAATACTCATTCCTAGCAACTTTTTGAATATGATGACTCTAAGCCAGAAAGTGGGAAGCAGGGAGGCAACTGCAGTGTTTAACTGGAAGACGCTCTCCTTAATTTCTCAGCCTTATCCTCCCTGACTCCCTGGAGCCAGGCAACATCCAAAAGGAACTCCTACCTTAGCATATCAGAGCTCCATATAGAGTGACACCTGGTTGCCACCCTTTTAGCTTGGGCCGAAGATGTCTGAGGGATCTCAGTAGCACACCTCTTCGACAGTCTCAGATGCTGCCTTGGCTGTGGAGGCCCTAGGACAGTGGCCAGTGTCCTTGACTTTGCTGTGCCAGTTGCCACATCCCTCCACTACAGAGGGAAACCTCTATATTCAGAGGATCCACTGTCCGGACACTCTTCCTTTCCCAACACTCACAATATGGCTGCAGGAGCCGAACGGTACTGTGAGGCTGTTCAGTGTGCTGTGAAGCCACAAGATGTGTACTCACTGTGGCCAGTTCCCTCCTGTGGAAAATGGGGCAGTGCTGAGGCCATGGGCATGTGTGTGTGTGTGTGTGTGTGTGTGTGTGTGTGTGTGTGTGTGTGTGTGTGTGTGTGTTGGAGTGGGTGACTCTGAGAAATGGTACAGTGGGGCACCTCCAAGGATTTTTTGGTGACATCAGGTACTTCTGGTCTGTTTACCTATCACCTTCATATTCAAATCACTTGTCTGACTAGTTCTGTGTGCTGCAAATTGTTTCAGCTATTCTTCCCAACATACATAAGTACTTATAGCGTTCATGAGGAACAGGAAACAAAAGGCAGAATACTGTACTCTCTGGAGTGTGCTAGACCCTTCTACCAGGCCCTGCCTTGCCAGACCAAACCAATCAAGCTACACACATTCAGACACCTTGTCATGCTAATTAACCACAAGGTAGTACAGTATCTGGACAGCCTGCCACAGAGTCTCCCCAGTCCTGAGTGGGTGCAGAAGCACTCTGGCTCCACTTCTCTCCAAAGATGTCCCTGGTCTCCCTGTGATGATGATCATTTGGCTAACTGGCTGCATGACACAGTTTTCATGCCAGACAGGACAGACCTTGGCTAAATACTGGCCAGGGCCTCAATGTGCATCTTCCTCCTTAGCTCCCACAGTGTACCCCCTACTCAAGGTTACTTCTTAATGCATCCCTGCAAGCCCCTAGAGGCCTTGTGCGCAATTCTTAATTAGAGCACTGTGTTCCTCAAGAAATAGGTGAGCAGAGCACAGAAAAAGGCTTGTTTTATTATTTGACCTCATACTTTTAGGACAGTCTGCACCTCCTCCCCCCACCTAATTAAAAAGTACCAAATACTATGGAATTCTGGCATACTCATTTGGGACACAGAAGAGAAAGGACTAAACTCCTAAGACAGTCTCTCCTTAGTCATGAGGGCCATGGTGAGGGCCCAGCAGAGCACTGGCCCACCAGAACCATAAAGGGTATCAAACTGTCCCCAAGTACCTACTCATTCTTCACAGGCGCCCACTAACATTGATTTAACAATTCTTAGTTCCTGTGGGAGTTAGGCTCCACTAAATGTGGATGCAGGGAGTTAGATTAAAATACTTTTCTCACACTTTTGTAAACTGGGCTTGACAGTGTCTGCCATGGTTCAAACAAACTGTCAGAATCAAGGGTCCACTGAGGAAGGCCAGGCATTTGTCACGGTAGCTTAATACTTGAGGCAGGGTAGCAGGACAGCTAACAGTGTAGCTGAGAAAGCAATTCCCACTAAGAACTTTGGTGGGCTCACACAGGAGTACACACTGACCAAGAGGAAAGCTCCTGGGCGACCCATGTCTGCCTCAGGTGTCCCATATGTGCCCTCCTATGTAGTTCTCTGCTTCCACACTGCAGTCATTGCATTCAGCCCACAGGGTGTGGCCAGGCAGGGCTAAAAAGACTCCTGGCACCTTTGTCTGGTTCATGATTATAGAAACAACCACGTCCAGATCAGGTGGCATGGTGGGCTGGCAGTTCCTGTCTCTGGACTCTAACTTAGTGAGAAGTGCAGAGTGTGTTTTCTGAGCTGTTAAAACAGATGTGGATCTTAGTGAGCAGAGAGGACCTCCTTCCCAGCAGACAGACCTCTCTTACACTCTTGCAGGCCTGAGAGTCTGCTGTTGTAAGGCAGATCACCCTCTTCTGGCTCAACCTGAAACACTTTAAAATCCTTCCTTATACAGAACACAATTCTGTGTCTCTTGGATAATGTTAAAAAACATTTTCTGTTTGTTTTGTTTTTTGAGACAGGATTTCTCTGTGTAACTTTGGAGGCTGTCCTGGAAACTCGCTCTGTAGACCAGGCTGGCCTCAAACTCACAGAGATCCATCTGCTTCTGCCTTCTGAGTGCTGGGATAAAAGGTGGACTTCACCACTGCCCAGCACACACACAAAAAGTTTTATTATGAATAACTGAAATCTATATTCATGTTCACAATAGCTCAGCAACTACCAACACATGACCATCTGCTTTCATCTCCTACCTCCCTACAGAAAAAGCTGTTTATGACAAAAGCTGGCTGTGCTAGGCACACTCACTGGTCAGCTAGTCCCAGTTTTTCCCTCTCAGCCTATCTTTGGGACAGAGGTTGGAAATGCAACATGCACACATTTGCAGCCTCCCCTGCAGCCAGAGTCTGCTTTGAGGCCACTTTAAGTCTTACTGATGCTGGAGCACACTGGTACACCCACTTGCATGTGCACAAGTACCAGCGTCAGGCAAGGAGGCATTCAACAAGCCACATGTATTAGTAGAGAAGGCTTTTAAACTGTGTGAGATGGGGTGCTGGGGGTACACAGAACTGCAAGGACAGTCAAGAGAAGTAGTCACCCCAGTACAGTGGGTGACATGCCAGACAGCACCACAGGAGAGTTCCCACTCTTGTAGGTCTGGAGGTCCTGCCCTAATGGGGTGCTAGCTGGTGCAGGTTAAAGACTTCCTCTATCATCCCAAGTCTCAGTAGAGACCATCTGTTCTGACACAGCTTAAAATGCTCTCTTGACACCTGTACAGTCTTTTGCAGAGGGATGTAGCGTGTAAGCTCTCTTTGTGGGTAATGAGATGCTAGCCATCTGGTGCCAGTAGTTCAGTTCGGTTGCTACAAACACTGCCCGCACATCTGAGGCCCAGATGGGGAAACCCAGTGTGACCTGTGACCTAGTGGTGTTCCTTGTCTTTAGGATGGCATCAGCTCACTTCAACCCTCTCAGACCCAGATGTGATTCACACCATCCACAGGCCAGAAAGCACACCTGTGTCTGAGCAGGAAACAAAATGTAGTCTGAAGCCCACTTTCTCCCCATTCCCATGCCCTAGGAACAAGCGAAGGGATTTAATGCTGTATTACCATGGGTGGTTTGTTATTTACTCTCTTCTTCCATGCCTCCTAGGCAGGATTTCCTAGGGTTTGGAATTTCCCTAAGGAATAAATACTTCCCACCCCCCACTTTTGAGACAAGATTCACTCTATAGCCTAGGCTGACCCGGAACTATGTATATAGCCCAGATTGGCCTCAAGTTTGTAGCAATCTTTCTCAGTCTCCCAAGTGTTAGGATTCTGGGTGTGTGCCAGCACTACTGGCAAGAATGTCCCTTAACAAATAAAAAACTAAAGAATTACTGAGGTAGAAACATCTGAGGTAGACTTTTTTTTTTTTTTTTGAGAAAAAGGGGAGCAGGAAGAAACAAAAACACCACTTAGTATTAATTTATACCAATGCCCCACCTTACACATGAGAAGAACTTTACACTGGAGAGACGCTGAATCAGTTGAGAACAAATGCCCAGGGACTCGGCATCTGCCCCTAAGGGGCTCCCAGTACCTCAGACGGGTGAGATATGCTAGCTGGGCCAGGGATGAGCGCTGCAGCAGGGCATCTTCACTTTCACCAGCCTCACAGAGGGCTTCTATTTGTTTATTTAAAGACACATTTTAAAAGTAAAACAAATGAAACCAGCTGAGGTTAAGATACATAAACCAAGCTGCAATGTAGAAAAAGGGTCTTGCTGGAAACATGATGAAGAACACTGGAAATAGTTCACATACACACAGAAGCGCTCACATTGTCAACAGGATTAAGCTGCTACTAATTCTCAGAATGTCAAGGTTTCATTTTGCTCAGCCTGAGATCTCGCTCAATTTCAAACTGCCTGTGGTCCACTCGATCCAGAAAAGCTTTCCGTTCAATGTACCTGGAAGAAGACAAAAACAGTGTCAAAAGAATCTGGGGGTAAGGCCTGGGCTCCCCTGCACTGTCCCAACTCCAGGGGTGAGCCAGGCTGCTCAGATGACCACTATATTCAAAACACTCCCATTTCACCCACACAGGACAATTCTGTTCAGACATAACTGAAACTACAATGGAAGAGGATGAGCTAACCCTTCTTCATTTGTTTTTGACAGGATCTCACTATGCAGACAAGAGATCTGCCTGCCTGTCTCTGCCTCTCCAGTGCTGGAATTAAAGGCATGTGCCAAAAAGCCAGGAGAACAAACTCCTTCTTAAGAGAAAAAAGAAAACACTGTTTTATCACAGAGCTTTGAGATGAGTTGAAATAATGCCATCTTATTAGTTCAAACCCTGTATTGGTAAATACTGACTGGGCAATTTTGTGGTCAAAGTTTCAATCTTTCTAAGCCTCACTGTTATCTATACAATGCCCTATTTTCTGCTACCGTGGTATGCTGACTTGGCAATTAACAGAAAGATACATTCTTTTTAAAAGAATTTATTTTGCGTGTGTGTGTGTGTGTGTGTGTGTGTGTGTGTGTGTGTGTCTGTGTGGGCAGGCACATGTGGAGATCAGAGGACAACCAGCTTTCAGGGGTTGCTTTTCTCCTTCCACCATGTGGGTCCTGGTACTGAACTTAGGTTGTCGAGCTTGGCACAGTTGTCTTTGACCCACTAAGCCACTCACTAGGCCAAAGCTATGTTTCTATGTGTCTTAAAACGGAAGAAATAGGTTAGAAAACTGACCACCAAGAATTGCTGTGAGGCTTGCAAAGCTATCAAATTTCCTCTGCTCCGTTTCCCTGTGTATCTTTTCCTTAGTTTGGGGCCAGGCTGCTTCTGTGGCATAAAGGAAAAAGCCCTTTCCTGAATTCTTCTAGCAATGAGACCAAACACCTCTGCACCAAGTCACACACAGGTTTTCCCTGGAAGCCTAGAGTTCTGCTCCTGCTCTCAAGCCAAGGTCAGAGAGCTCCCTCAGTCTTCCCAGACAGGGTGGGAGGGAGGCCAGCCTACACTGGCAGGCACGCTGGTCAGGAGGGAGCCAGGCTGCTTAATGAGACATAGCTGCATTTTAATGTACCTTTTCTTACCATAAAGTGTGCTGCAATTTACTTGAGGGGAGGAACTCTCTGCTGCTAATTAATCTATTGAGGGAGCAAAATTGCCATTAAAAAGGGGAGACATAATTGAATCTTTGCACTAATTTTTCTTTGTTGCACTGTGGAAAATGTGCGTCTGTCACTACAAGGTTATTACATTTATGACGAGAATGTAACCAAGTCCAGGAACCTGTGTTCTCTGATGAGTTCAGGTCTTGTTTTTCTGCCCCTCAGCATCCTGAAACAAGGCCTATCCCACCTGCTAGTCAGATGAGCCCGTGGCTACTAATCATCCAAACACTACCAAAGAGTAGTCAGAAAACACAGGTTCTGAGGACAGAGGGAGCTGAATTCAAATCCTGTCACTCACTGGCTGTGTGACTCTGGACAAACCATATAAATTTAGAAAATCTCAGTTTCCTAACATATTAAAAGGGGGAGGGGACCACAACAGGGATTAGTTACTGCTGAGGCTTCGGTAAGAAGACTGATGTTCCAGAGCACCATTCTATATTTCAACTTTTTGGAAACGGTCTCATGCATTTCGGGATGGCTTACTGTATACAGTCCAGGATGGCTTTAAGCTTCTGTCTTTACCTTCCTAGCAGTCAAGATTACAGGTATGAACTACTATGCCTGTCTAATGTGATGCTGGGGCTCTGCACACACACTAGGCCAACTGAACTGTATCCCTGGATCCTAAAACTCTCTTAACAAAACAAAAAAACCAAACAAAACAACAATAACACAAAAAAAAAAAAAAAACCCAAACCAAGAAAACTTATATTCCCTCCACACCAAAAGATAAGCTAGAGATCAACCCTTCTTACTCAGACGAGCTGCTGTGAGTAGTCAGCATGGTAGCTGATAATGCCACACTATCAGGGTCCTAAGGATAGCAGATGGCCCAGTTGGGATGTATGCTGTCTGAAACTAGTAACTACCACCTTGTCTGGATCAGCAATTAGGCGGTGGTGTCAAAACTGTCACTGAGGCCAGAACAGCTGGAGCACATGGAAAGGCTGTGCTTAGGTTTGATAAAAGTCCCTTGGGTCACAGTTGTCAGATTTAGTATGTGAAAATAAAGGAGACCCAGTTAAATCTGAAATTCAGATTCCCTGACAGAGAGCAATGTCAGATACCATATGCCCCTTCTGATAAAGGCAAAGAATAGGGACCTGGATGAGTGGGTGTGGACAAACAACTCCCTGCAGCAGCCACAGCAGCCAAGGGCTTCGCCTACTGCAATCAGTTATCCCCTGTCCCTGCCTATCCTGGATCTGGAGAAGTAGATGTGGGAATTGGGGACTTGGTGGCAGGCATGCTAATTGCCCCTTTGAAAAGCCAGCAGAAGAGTGGTGAACATGGCAAGAGATGGCACTGTGTAAGACCACATGTGAGTGTCTGAGGATAGAGCTCTCAATCTGCTGGGAGGTCAGGAAGGAGAAGAAGGAAGCAATTTTCACATTGGGATGCTCACTGAGCATGGATAAGGGCTCGCAGGTTCACCTAAGCTCTACATGTCCAGATGACCTGGAGACTACTGGGAGCAAAGTCCAGAACAGATGTTAAAGGGGCAAGCTGAGGCCAAGGAAGCCCCAAACAGTAACAAGGGCACACGTACAGTGTAGCTCAGTTCTCAAGGGCAGCCCAGACAAAGGGCATCAAGGCAGGTCTGGCTATTCACAGCCGCTGGGAGCTGCTAAAGGATCCTGGTGACAGATTGGTTTACATCTCAGAGCTGAGCTTGCTGATGTGCAAAGGCTGACATGATGCTGTGGGCGAGAAAGGCTCTGATATCTACCATCTGTACTTTTAGGAAAGGTACTGGTATTTAATTTTTGGCTTTTTATGTTTGTTTTTTCCTTCTCTGCAAAATAGGAATAAAATGTAATGTGCCTCTGTAGATGCAATGAAACTCAAGAAGTGCTTTGTAAGAGACATCAGACAGCTATGCGAGCTGTTGGGGTTTAGGTTCTTGCGTCTCATCAACTTAACCACAGCTATAGCCTGCAAGGCCTCAGACCATGACTGGAAATGCTCCTGAGGAAGGGCTGCCTCAAAGGCCTCCTAAGGGTTCACCTACTTCAGCTGGGCTGCAGGGGTTTCCAGGCACTTTAATTGGGAAACAATCCCAGAACAGATCTGCTGGCTGACAAGTGTAATGGGAATTATTATGGTTCTCACTGGTCTTGGGTCTTGCTGCTTTTCTGGCCTATTGGGAAGCCTAGGGCTGAAGGGGTATGTCATCTACTGTTTTTTCTTTTTTCTTTTTTTTAACACATTGATCCCAGTTTCCTCCTCCTCCCTTCCTCCCCCCATCCACACTTCCATGCCCCCCCACCCTCCCCACCCCACCCTCCACTCCACACTTAGGGTGATGCCTTCCAGGAGAGGTCATCTAAATCTGTCAAATGATTTGAAGTAGAAACTAGGCCTTCTCTCCTGTCTCTAGGCTAAGGGAGTATCCCTCCATGGGGGATGTGCTCCCAAAGTCCTTTTGTGCACCAGGGATACATCCTGGTTCCACTTTCCAAGGTCCCTTAGACTGCCCAGGCCTTCTAACTGAGACTCATGATCAGGGGGTCTGAGTCAGTCCCATGCTGGATTCCCAGCTATCAGTCTGGGAGCCCATTAGCTCCTCCTTGTTCAGGTCAGCTGTCACTACTTGTTTCTGCAACCTGATCTTGTCCTCCCTCTCTGCATCTGAATTCCAGTTCAGCTCAGTGGTTAGCTGTAGGTGTCTGCTTCTGTTTCCATCAGCTACTAAATGAGGGCTCTATGATGGTAGATAAGTTAGTCATCAATCTCATTATCAGAGAAGGACATTTATGGTAGCCTTTCCACTGTTGCTCAAATTGTTAGTTGGGGTCAGTCTTGTAGGTCTCTGGACATTTCCCTAGAGTTAGTTTTATCTTTAAACCTATAATGGCTCCCTCTTTTATAGTCTCTCTCTCTCTCTCCCTCCCCCCTCTCTTTTCCCTCGCCTATTCCTCCCACGTGCTTTGTGCTTCCTAGTCTTCTCCTCCCCTTCTCTTTTTCCTAGTTTCCTCTCCACTCACTGCCCCCCCCCCCCAATATACCAAGTTGAGTCTCTAGCATACTATGTTCTTTCATGCGCCATTAAACAGCAGATTTTATTTATTTACTCACTCGATCCATTCATTCCTTCACTCATAAAAGACAAGCTCTCTCCATGTAGTCCTGGCTTCTTGGAACTCACTCTGTAGACTAGGTTGGTCTTGAACTCATGGGAGATCTGTGTGACTCTGCCTTCCTTAGTGCTGGGATTAAAGGTGTATACCACTATGCCTGGCAAAGCAAGTAGCTCTTTATTGTCATTAACAAAATATGCTAATAGCACCAAGATGATTTTTTCAGTTTTTCCTTCCAGAACCAAGATATACCCAATAGGCTCTGACATCTTTGGGATCTTTCAACTCAAATTACTGTTCTGCCTCAATTACCTAAAAATTCAGGACACTGAACAGGGAAGAGTAGGAGCACTATCAGGGAAGATGGCAGAACCTCCATCAGAGGGTGCTGACCTGCAAAAGCTCTGTCCTGTGGTCATCCTGTGGCTGACCATAGGAGAGGCTTCCTGCACATTGCTAAGGAAAGGGCATGAACAGAGACACAAGGTAAGAGGGTGCTCTGGGGCTGGCACATTTGGTGCAGCTCACATGGCACAACAACAATAAACTTCAGCTGTTGATGGGCAATGGAAGCCCTGAGACTCAGCATGTCTCTGGAGTAGTCCTAACAGGGCAGGATTCCTCTGCTCTGCGAACAACTGAAACATGCAAACTGCCAGGTCCAGGCATGGCCCCAAAGCCAGCACTGATAATCCTTTCCTCCC